GACGAGGCCGCACCGTGACGAACCGTATTGGGAGTGTCTACATATCTCCCGGCGGTACTTTTGATTCCCAAACTCGTGATGCTGCCGAGAACCGGAGTCGACAATATGAAACACGTATATAGCCGTCTAATTCGGCGCGAGAATCCCGCGAATGCCGACAGAAAATGAGGCGAATCTCTCTCCTCGTATACATGGGAAAAACAAGCGAGCCATGTAAGGTCTCCTCTATTACGCGACCTCATGAAGAGAATGAAAAGGAGAGACATCATTTTCTAGCATCGCTCTATCTGCGTTCTGTCTACGTGACGCCTCATTCGATTCTTCTGCTTCGATGCGAAAATCAGAGGATTATATATTTTTCTCTGGTAGCAATATAAAAATAAAAAGATATAAAAAATATATATGTAATTCATGTAAAAACATTATTATCAATCTTGATTTAAAGGAGATATTCTCAAAGACAGATAAAAATATAACTAATCAAAGGTAAATATGAAAGATAAAAATAAGATAGATATATAAATAAATATATATATAAAAATATATATCAAAATATAAATAATTGCAGAAGAATAAAATTCATGCAATGAATAATGTGACTTGAAATTCAGTGCATTCTTAATAGTTAAAACTGCATTTAAAGAACGAGAAAACTTTGTAAAAGGTGGAGAACGGTTCGCACGATTCTTCAACGGGAAATATTCTGTAATCTGTATCTCGAGAGTCGCACTCCTAAAACGGTAATATGAAACATCTCTTTACGAAAATAATCACCGGAAACGATAAAAGATCCCGGATATTTTTCAGGAGAGATAGTTAACTTCTTGAAAAGTTCTACTCGAATAACATATGACATAACGAGCCGCGCGTTTATACTTTATGGTCGTATTCTACACAAGGGAAACAAGACGATACAAAAATGTCACTGGAATCGCGGCAGATGTTCGCGCGCGGAGAGATTGGATAAGTTGAATTGTTGTGGTCCTAAATCACTCGTCATTGCAATCTATCACGAGACATTTCTCTCTTTCTTTTTCGCCTCTTCTCTTTCTCTCCCCGGCGCGACTTGATATTAAAATGACATCGGCGATACGTTATTTGCGTTCGGTTAAACCCGCGCACGGCATAAAATCGACCTAACAACCAGAGATAGGATGGTAAACATGGCAGGAAAAAGCGGCGGAAAAAAGAGAAAGAAGGAGAAAGATATGAGACTGACGAAGGAACGAAAAGGAGCGAACTTCCGCTGAACTGATTAGATGCTCGGGTCTCTTCGGAGAAGTCTCGCTGGAATGAAATGGAATGGAATGCGCTGGGGATCCGGCGGACGCGCATGATGAAAGATTCGTTCGCGATAGTTGTCAATTTCCCATTTAAACGAGTATCAAAAGTAGATATTGTTAGATTTTACGAGCTACTACAATTTCCGCTTTGTCCGAATAATTTTATGTATACATTTAATTCATATATACATATAGAAGAGATCGATAACATTGTCATATTTTTAACATTATGTAAACGACAAAAGTTTGTCAAAATATTTAACATGGTGTATTTAATATTAATATTTAACATTTGGTTATTTTCTTGTTTTTATGATTTTATTTTAAAAATGCAAAAATGTTTTATCACGTTGAAAAAGTGCGTGATAATTGACATATGTCAAAATTTTAAATTCTCTCTTAAATCTTTATGTCTACGAAGCTATTATATTATTATATTATTTCGTGAAAGATCATAAAATAAAGTGAAATTCTTTAATTTATCGTCAAAATTATTTGTTTAAATTTAAAATTTGAAACTATCTTGAAAATTCTAGAACTATTGAAAATAAAGTCTTAGAATTCTTTAGAAATTTCCACGAAATGAGACGCTTCACACACTCCTATTACTGCTATAGAAATATTGTAAAATAAACAATTTTCAATTTTTCACTCACCGATACGTGCGGCAGAGTTGTAGTACGCAGTACATTGATCTGAAAGTATAAAATATTCAAATTATGTACATGCGTAAGTATATATAATACATATATATAGGATTTTGAAAATCTAGAAACGATCAAATATCTAAATAATGCAGTTTAGGAAAAAAAATTTTTTATTCTGCATACCTCACAATTGCCTCGCTGTCGCCCGATGCCTCCCAGACCTCCTCCTCCTCTCTTGGTAGCACTCGCGACACTCGCGAAAATACGAATAATTACGATCTCCCGACACTTGACACGGCACTTCCGACGCGACACGTGAATCGCACGCGTATTTCGCGTTCATTGTGCAATGAGAAAAACCGATAAACGCACGAAACAACAACATTTAGCATTCGAGAATCTTGCAATCGCTCGATGCCTCTTCGGGATTCCTCTCTTTCCTGTCAGTAAAAGCTTACCTATAACAAATAAAAAAAAAAAAAATATATATATATATAAACTTAAACAGATATAATGTTTCTTGAAAAAAATGAATGTATTATATATTTATTTGGCATACCTTATAGTTGCCCTGCTGTCGCCCGATGCCTCCAGGCCTCCTCCTGCACTCTTGGTCCCTTGTAGCACTCGCGGCACTCGCGAAAATATGAATAATTACGATCGCCCGACACTTTATACGGCACTCCCGACGCGACACGTAATTCGCGTTCATTGCACAATGAGAAAAAAATGATACGAAAATTATAATCGCACGAAACAACGTCCGTTCGACATTCAAGAATCTCGCAGTCAAACAGCTTATCAACACAATGCTACCTGTAACAAAAAAATTCATACATCTTATTATTTCGCATTATAACATACATGATATTGATGATTATGTAAATTAAAATTAATACGATGCATATATCCACGAGTCGCAAACATTCGCGCGCGCGAAAAACAGGTTAGATTAGGTTATGTTGATTGACAAGAGATTTGCATCGAATTTCTCGCGAAATATGCGTTACGAACAATTTTACGAGTACATATAAACATTGAAATTATGATATGCGATTGATAAATATTGCAACACAAAGGTTAAAAACGATTATACATACTAATTAATCACAGCCAGACGTAGTTCGAACTACCTGATATTCACGGCGTTTCGGTAATGGCTGAGCTATTCCACGAATATCGGCAACTTCACTCTAATAGCGCGCGCGATACTATACGTGATTTAAATATTAATAACAAATTAAAACTCAAAGGAGACTCGTATAAAAAGATATAGCTTTAGAATAAATAGAAATAGAAAATATATAAATACATAAATATAAATATAAAAATAGAATAAATATATTTATATATAAATATATATATATATATATATATATATATATATATATTTAGAATAAAAATATAATTTTGGAAAATCGACTGGTATCTCATTTCAATATCTATAAATATAGGTATTCGGTTCTTGCTTTAGCTTTAGCTTATTTAATATCATTTTGTTTTAAAAGGCAGAACTTTTTTAGAATTCATGTAAAATTATAAGTTTTTTTAATCCTAATAATCACTGATAAGGAAAATGCCGTAAGATAAAGTGATATACTGCGTGAAGTTGAAATATGAATTTGTTCTTAAGCATGTTTTTTTTTTGTTTAATGCCAAAATTACTATTTAAATTACTTGTTTAAACAATCAAGAAAACTAAAAAAGAAACATAATGAAAATCTATAAACTATCAAAATAAAGCCAGAACTCAGTTATTTATAATCTTCTATTAAATGATATACTAGTTTTACACATACTTTAAATTTATAATTTATGTCACTATTCGTACAAATTGTTTATCAAAATATTGAATATTGCATATTATCTGCAAATAAATTGTCATTTAAACGATGAAAAGATGAAAAAGCTCTCATTATATAATAACATTAATATCATATTATTAACGTGGCTCTCTCAACGTTATCGCGGTGTTTCATTTACAAAAGTATACGTATCAAAAATTGATCTTTACACGCACCAATTCCGAATATCTCGAATTGCCAGAAACGAAAAGTGGGCCAAGTGATTGCTAACGTAACGGTTTTACGACAACCGATATTTTGGTTATTTTCGAGAAGAAACGTAAAATTCAGGTAGAAAGACAAACGAGGACGAAAGAGGAAGCAGAGAGAAAGGAAGGTATGTAGAAGGAAAGATGCGGACGAACTCTGCCTCGGAGCAATGTTCGGTTTCTTTGGAGGCATCGACGTTTTTTTTAATGATACGCTACTCTTTACCTTCTCGAAAAAGGGAAGAATCCGTCACTGTATATATAACCGGAATTTAAACTCTCGGAGATCGTCTCAATAAACTTCCAAGGAAGAAAGTATCTACTACTTTTCTAACCCAGAATTGAAATTGGAAGAACGACTTTTTCTCGAGACATCGACAATACCTATATATTTTCTATGTTTTTTGCTACTAATAGTTGAAGATCACATTATATATATAGACTCGTAATAAAGAATTGTCAATATAAGGTATCATTATATGTTAAAAATATTAAAAAAAGCAAAAATGAAGAATTTTATTTTAATTATCGAAAACGATTAAATATTATATCCAAATAATTAAATCTTCTCATTTACATAATTTGACAAATTCCTAAAAAAAGTTTATCTCAAACGTTGCAAATATAATAACTAAAAATAAAATATTAATTACTTCAAATTTATTTAGTCTTTTGTTGTATTCAAAAACTGTATTACAAAAAACCTTTTAACATGGAAAAATATATTATTCAATTATTTTTCACGTCCAGTATTTACTTAGCAAAGAAGAGAGTTGCTTTATGAAAAAGACGAATCGCAAACAATGCGAATCCCTCGTTTCTTCTTACGCGTGGCGTCCGATCAGATGAACAGCTGATCCCTAAATCACACGTTTGCCATTCGAAATATCGATTACGCAACACGCCCGAAGGATTCCTCTCGCGGCCTTCGGAATCCTTCCGGCGTTATCGTCCGCTGAGAGCCTTCCACGAACGACACGGCGCCTAATCAGACCGCTCGTTCATCATGTGTTCCAGGTCTGGTTCCAAAATCGACGGGCCAAGTGGCGCAAACAGGAGAAGGTCGGGCCCCAGGCGCATCCTTACACGCCGTACCCACCACCGTCGGCGGTCGTGGCGCCGACCTTGCCGAACCCCTTCGCCCACCTGGTCACCTTTCCTCACAGGAAGCCCTTCGATGCCTTTCGCTACCCGCTGGCGGGTCACGGCCCGGTCCTCCCCGGTAGTTACGCCGCTCATCCCTATCATCGGGCGCCGCCGCCGTTGCTACCGCCAGGGATGCCGCTGTCGTACACGTCCGCCGCCTCGTTCCAGAGCCTGCTGGCGAACATCTCGGCGGCGCAGCGGCCGAAACGCGGCTCGCCACCTCCGCCACCGCCACCCCCAACCGCGATTGTCCTGCCGCACCCTTCGGTGGTACCGCCACCCCCAGCGCCACCGACCGCCACCTCGCCGCAGAGCTCGCCCACGGGCAGCGTGGGTCTGCCGGATATCGACAGGAGGACTAACAGCATCGCCAGTCTCAGACTGAGGGCCCGCGAGTACGAGCTGCAGCTGGAGATGTCGCGTAAGAACGGCGACCTTATAAGTTGAAATATCGCGGGTTAAATGCGGGAGTCAGCGAGCGCGAATATCCGTCGTAAGACGATTTTTTTCAAGGTCGCGAATTCGGCGGGACCGGACAGATTTTATATGAAGAATAATATAAAATCGATATATATATATTGGTGGGATTTTCTTATAGTGACATTTAAATCAGAGTTTGTACAACGTGACGCGCGATTAGATAACAAATATCAGAGCACATATTTTAGCTGAATGTTATATAAAAATGCAACAAATGCGATGTTTAATTATATATTATCGTTTTAAATCATATATATAGTATATGTATGTCACATTGGCAAGATTCTGACTCAAATGGTCTTTCGGTCGATCTGTTATTGATTATCGCGATGAGCTTAGCATATGCGATCACGGTTTCGTGATAAATAAAGACTATAATCATATTGATAAGCAACGGAATTGTATATAGCGGATGTAAAGCACATTTGTTGATCGGAATTTTTTAATATCGATAAAATGTGGATCAGAAGAACGTAAAAATTTCCATTTTTCCATCAAAGAATCTCTTGTTGAAACTGTAATATGATTTCAATGTATTATTCAATTTTTTACAGCGATAGAAAATTGACAATGAGAATAATTCAAATTAGTATAATCGAAATTTTCAAATCTGCAACATTTTTCGTCTACAATAAAATTAAAAATTAATATCTTTTATATTAACTGGAATTAAACAATCATCATTTGCTAAGTTTTTTTTTTAATCGTAGTAAGTCAGTTTTTTTTTAATTTTATGCAGGTCATGTTAATCGCATTTGCAGAATAATTTAAAATAAAAAGAAAATAGGTAAAAATAATAACTATCTCTTCTTTCAAATTGAGGTTCAAGAATGTCATTGTTTACTTCGAAAAAAATTTATCATGATGCAAATCTATCAATTTTTTTATACATCCTAGAAAAAATTAATCGTGATGCGTAATTCCATCAATTTCTTTTTGTTCATTATTCGCCATTATCCACAACATCATAACTATAACGCGATGGTAATAGGGAACACGTGCAGCATGAATAAAAGGAGTAAAATCACCGTTACTCATGTGTTATACACCGCATTGTATATAGTTTATAATATTCCGTATGCGCGAGGAAACTAATAGAACTGCGCAAATCAAGGGTCTTGCACGCATGTATGTATATCGCTTGAATCTGTTTCACACGCATCGAAAGGTAAGTTTTTAATTAGCTCGCATAATCGGTAATCATGTCAGCTTCTATTAAGGCTAGTATTATGTATTATACGATAAATTTATATGAAGGACGCGCTAAGAATGTTTAGCGCAGAAAAAAAATGTTCCACGAAGCTTACTGATAATTCGACCAAGTTGCAGGACATGAGAGATATTAACCCAATGTAATGCTGATTGATAAATATATGTGAAACAGATGTTAATCCTAGCAGGATCAAGTTTTTAACTGTGACGGAATAAAAAAAATTATTATCTTGTTGAAAGCTCAATATAATCAATGATATATATATATATATATATATATATACATGTATATAATTTGCATATATATTCGTATTGAAAAATAATGCAAGATTTTATACAATTATTTTATATTCAAAAAATTTATTTTAAAAATATATAAAATTGCTGAAAATAGAAAGTAAAATATAATTAGATATTTATAAAAAAAATAATTAAAATTTTGTAGCTGCTTCTTGAATCTGCTAGGACTAATTAAGAGAGTTACTGAATTGTGTCATTCTCTTTTCGTTAGAGAAAATGACAGCGGCTCTCGCGATTCTAAAGTGACCTTATCTAAAGATCATCGAAAAGTGTCCGTCCACTTGGAAATTATTCGACATCATGACAGAAAGTTTAGAGTTTAGAGACTAATGAATAGAAGCAAGAATTTTTGTAAAAGAGAAAATATTCAGATAGAAATACGGTCCTTTCCGTCGCGATCGAAATGGTCTCACAAACTTCGCTGCTGATTACGCTAATTACGGAGATCGGATGAAGCGTGTAGTTTTATTTACTTTTACACGACACATTATACATATTAATAGATAACGAGAGAAAAGAAAAAGATACTATTTATATATATAAATCTATATATATACTTTATACATTTACAATTGAGATATTCTACGCTATTGCTATAGATTTTACAGCTGCATAAGCATATTTAGCGCGTAAGTCAGCCTGTAAATAATTGTAAACGATCTGCATGTCATTTTTAACAAGGCCTTACAATTACCTGTCCCGTTTTGCATAATGTACAACGAACGACACGTAAACCCGTAGCCATATCGACAACCTCCCGGCTACTTTTCGACGGCGTTCTCACTTTCAATTTCTTCGTTGAGAGAGAGACTCTCGACACGCCATTGATCTCGTTCAATTTAAGCGACAACCGTAACAATTCTATGACAATGTGTCGAGCGCACAAAAGATATGTCGAGTGTGATATCTGTCTTTCACGCGAGTATTACGATCGAATTTGAAATCGAGATTGAAAGACGTTATCAAACTCCACCTATTTCTTAAACCGAAACAGCCACGTGCATTGTGTACTTAATATTAATATTACCTCCTTATTCCTTCTTTGCAATGAATAAATGACTACGATAAAATAACGCATTTTTTACTAGCGATCCTCTTGTCACTAAAAATTAATTTAATAAGTTTTTCTAATTTTTTTAAAATTTCTCTTCCATTCATAAATTCTGTAATAAATTCAATCGATTTTTTTAGCAAAAATGTTTTAATTTTTATTTCTATTTAAAAGGACGTTCGCGATTATTGAATTATGTGATAATAATTATTTATATTATTTTAGAGAGACAGAGAGAGAGAGCCACATATTTTCAAAGCAAAATATAAATTACAGTATTTAGATATTGAATTAATTTAATATAATACATTTGACTGTTATGTTAAAAGAAAAGTTCACTTTGCGCATAAATTTAACTGTCTCAAAATTAGACGGATTTAATCCTTGTTTTAATGCCGCCATCTCGCCGCGAGATGTATACGACGGATAGCGATATTAATTTACGGGCTCGTCAGCTTTTCGAAAAATACTCCATTAACTCGCACATACATTAAGTGCTCCTTCTTCTTGAAGGGCTCGGGATCGGGGAGTCGTCCCTCGAGACTGACTTACGGCGAGTAATTCGCGACTGGACACGCCCGGCCGACGAGTTATTTAAATATTTTACAGTTTAATGGAGTCTCGGGCCCCATTAACGGGCGTCAGCTAATTAGTAACATATCCCGGCGTGTAAGCATGCTCTCGAGGAGGCCCACTAACGATCGGTCGATAAATCGAACGTTCGCCGACAAATCGACTAGTCGATCGGGTCTGACGTGTAGCAACGAATTTAAAACATTTTAGGTCGTTCAAGATAAAACACATATTTTTCATTTTTTTTATAAATGACATAAAAAAACAATTGCTCACTAAAATTTAAACGGATTATACTTGCGCAAGATTTTACATAATTCATGATTTAAGTACCAAGAGACATGTAAAATCTTGTGCAGCAAGAAAATGATTTCAAATTTATCAAAAAATTTAATTTATAATTAAAATCAGAAAAATGTCGAATTATTTTTCTATTATAAGCGCGTGTATCAATCATGCAAATAGAATTGCAATAAAATGAAAAAATATATATACATAGATCAATATTAAATGATAGCACAGTTAAATTCCATGAAAATTAAATGGATTTCAATTATACGTCACTAGACAATAGAATCGATAGAGATTTCGTGTTTTAAATTCCTATCTGCTTTAAAATTGTTAAAGCACCGAGCAAATTTCCACTTATCGATATTTTGAAGTCTCTCGCGAAATTTTATTAGATGCGATAGTAAATTTGCCGGAAAATCATGATATTATAGCGGCGGTTGATTGAGAAATAGTATTAGGAATCCTACGTTAATGCTCGGAATTACGGAGCCACTTTTATCGCAATATATCAGAGCTATTTTATCGCGTCATATATACCTGAAACATTATTACGTACTTTACGATAATCTTAAATAAGTATCGAACTGCACGCTTAAATTACATATTTCAACTGTATCTATATCGCTTGTATATATCGTAATTGCGACTGCACAAGAAACTTTTCAAGATATGTAATGGAATGAAAGGTTTCCTCTCCGATTATTATGTATGCCTTATACATATAATAGAGCTTTCGTCAAGTATACCAACAAATAAAAGTAACGGTCGTTTTTTTACACGAGATGCACCGCAATTGTGCTATATAATTTTATTTGAAAAAATGTAAAAAATTTTAATATATTTCCTAACTATTAAGTTTCTTCTATATATATATTTCCTAATTTAATTTATTCAAGATCGAATTAATTGGTTTCATTTGAGATACTATTTTTTGATTTGAAATATTATTTTGACGTATAAAAAATAAGATATAAAAAATTAGTTTTCACCAACGCAAGATCTCCAAATAACGAAGGAAAAGCCGATTGTCGAGTTGCGCGGCGCATAAGCGATGGTAGCTGCCGATTCATTTCGCGATGCGAATGGTTATTAGGTGGCTAGAGTCGGTGTAAAACGTCGCCGTAATGACCGGTTACTAACTAACTGGCTGAACCCCCGGCCTCTGCTTGCATTCTACATCTCTCGGCGATGTGCACGCGCATATGTACGCGACTCGCCGATCGCCGCAGGCACCGTCGATACTGTTTACACCGTAGTAATTTGCTAATGGCCAGGCCGACACGATGAATTCGGGATCGGGTTAGCTGCGTGTTCTGCATACCGATATCTCGACGCGGCGGGATCGACGACGCGGCCCGAGTGATCGAGGATCGATCACGCAGGAGGAAGAGGAGACACGCCTCCGACGATCGATCTTGCCGTTCCGTTCGCGTATTACCGATCTATTCCGAACCGCAATTTGCGTCGATTATCCTTTCGTTTACCGTGGCCGCTTATCGCTCCGGACGATTTTCGATGATAACCGAAGTGATGAAGGCAATGGGCTCGTATCTATTTACGTCACCGCGTATGTATGTATGTATGTATGTATGTATACACGGAGAACATTTTCTCTTACCCTGAAAATCATGGTAATCGTAGGACAATATGGTATTGAAAGAATTTTATATAAGAGTTTCTCTGATTAATATTTACCACAAAAAATATTAATATATAGTACATTTTTACACTATGTTACATAGTAAAATTAATCAAACATATTTTATATCTTATTATGGTGGATTATTAATATTTTTTATTGATTATAATGATTTTCAGAGTAAATTCTAAGGAAAAATTATATCTTCCGTGCTCGTTTCTCCTTTCGGAATATAGTTACGATAACCATTTTTAGAGAAAAAATAAAGAGCAAACCTGAAAATTTTAGGGCTTTATTTCAATATGCAAAAAAAATAATTCTGCGACTATCAGAAGTCTACATATACATAAAATTTGAAACTGATTCGACTATGTTGAAATAAATCCTTGGTTTCCTAAATATAAGTTCCGGATAAGAAGTTCCGTCTTTTTCGTACAAATTCTCATGTTAGTGCTCCTGGGAAAATTCTAATGTTAAGACTTTACATATTAGACATTGAAACGCTAAATAAAAAATAAAATTGAGTTTTGGAAGATGAATAAATCTGAAGAGCAGCTAGATTGAAATAAAAATCTGTCCCTCGCATTTGTAGTAGTTTTCGTTTTGTTTGTAATCGCGCGGTTTAAAAATTACAATTAAAAAAATTGTCAAAAGTGATTTTTGTCAATTTTAAAGATATTTCAAATCTGCTTTTTCCAACAATATTAATTTCGATTGCGATTGCTACAAATTACTACAAACTAGTCTGAATCACCTGAAGGAGCAGATATAAAAAATCTTTAAGATTAACAAATTTCACTATTGACAATTTTTTAAACATTTGGAAATTCTAAACCGTGCAATTAGAAACAAAACGAAAATCACTCGAAACAACTATACAAACGATTCTAAAAAAGACTGCACATACGGATTTGAAATATCTTAAAGTGGGATCACTTTAAAATTTTTTTCGCTTTGACCGATATATCGATCTATCTCCGCTTAAAGCATACTCGAATTTGTAATGTCGCGCATTCGGTTATGTGATTCTGGTACACGACTTTCAATAAATTAATGTCTTAATACGGAAAATGATAGTATTTCGTTTGTAGTCAATGTAAAAATAAAAAATATTAAAATATTGACCAGCACCCGACTTTAAGATTTTTAAAATTTATTTACGCAATCTTTTTTATAATTATTTGTAAAGACTGTTCTCTAAAATAAAGAACGGATGGTCACCGTAAATATAGTACTTCGAAAATTGCAAAAAGGGAGTAGAACCTATAATTTAAAAGAGATATATATTTATATCAAGATTTTTTATGAATTATTATATTTGCTGAATGCAAATAGATGACAAAAATCGTTTCCTGTCCTATTTGAAATTTAACAGGATTTTTTAGAGTTGAGGTTTCATCTAAAT